AAGCTGCCATATGCCTCCCTCTCACTTAACGTGTTCAGAATCTAAACCCCATTTTAGGAAAGTACTTTTCACGAATGAAATATAATAGTGAATGAATGCTAATGTGTATTAGTACGTTTAAAGATGGTAGAGCCCTGGAGAACTCTTGGGGAAAAAGTTGCTTGAAAAGGGTGTTGTATAATGTATTTTTGTCTTTAGTTTTGTGTTTTAGAGGCCTATGGTAATTAGAGAGTGTATTCTCCAGTGAAAGAAGGGTCACATGGCTCTTAGACATCAGCACAGACCTGTAAATTTATATATCAGAGTCATGAGATGATTTGGCTTGGAAAGGTCCTTAAAGCCCTTCAGTTTCCAGCCCCTGCTGTGGGCAGGAAATATGGCTCTATACCTTCTGCAAGGCCAGGCTGCCATCCAGCCTGGCAGGAATAGGACAGGATAATAGTTTCTAACTATCACTGCACTCCCTGATGAAGAATCTCTTCTCACCATTCCTGAAACCTCAGTACCTAAAGTACCAGAAGGCTGCTACAAGGTCTCCCCAAAGCCTTCACTTTCTAAGCCCAGCTCTCAGCCTGTCTCCATAGGAGTGCTGCAGTCCTGGCTGCTTGTGGACTCTCTCAAGCTGCTGGGGGAATGAGCTGAGTGCAGGTGGGGCCTCATGACAACAGAATAGAGGGGGGCAATCACCTCCCATGCCCTGCTGGCCACACTGCTTTCGATGCAGCCCAGGACTCTATTTGGCATTCTGGGCTACAGATGCATGCTGTTAGCTTACATTCGTGTTTTTGTCCACCAACACCTCTGTGTCTTTCTCCTCAGGGCTGCTCTCCATCCAGCCTGCATTTGTGTTTGGGATTGCCCTGATCCCAGGGCAGCACCTTGTGCCTGGCCTTGTTGGGCTCATGAGGGCCCACCTGGGGGCTGTGCAGGTCGCTCTGGCTGGCAGCCCTTCTCTTCAATGTGCTGATGGCACCACTCAGCTTGCTTCCTGAGCTCCAGCTCTTTCTCTTGCTGAAGCAGTTTTATCTGTCCAAAGTCTATGATGCATAAAAATACTGTTAAAAAGTCATAGAAAGTGCTGACAGAATGGAGATTCCCAAGAACCTCAGACAAACAACTTTAAGACTTAAGGTTGTAAATCTGCTTAAATGTTTTCCCAAGTAAATAGGAAATTGATCAATCCCTTGAATTACTTTGTGTTTCAAATTAACATATTCCTTGCTAGATCTGTAAATTAGCATTCTTTTTTCTTCGTTGTATTTTTCCTGTTTTCACAGTGGAATTTCCTTCTGTTCTATGAAAGGAGAATGTTTGGCAGTAGTCTTTCCTTGTTCTGTGAAGCTTGATGGCACTGTATTATACTTGGTCTGATTTTTTTTTTTTGTCTGAAGTGTTCATCTGGATGTGCTTACAGAGTTCTTAATCCAGAAGTGAAATGCAGAGTATGTTTTATCAGAGATGGCTATTCAGCATGGGGGTTTTTGCAGTCAGAAAGCATTACTGAAAGGAAATAAAACAGTGTCCATACCTCGTACATGTAACAGTTGTGCTTGTCTCATGGAAGGAAATCGATGTTGCTGGTGCATTGAGCAATAACCTCATTATGCTGACTTTGCACTGTTGTTCTTGTCTTGTACTTTCTGCCTGGAAAAGCTGACGTAGCTCTTCAGTTAGTGATGATTCCATTGAATCTCCTGATCCATACTTCAGAATCCAGTGTGCTATTGCAATGCAAATAATTACTCTTTACTGTATAACAGTGAGAGTGTTTGCTGTAAAACTTGCTAATGCAGACTTGAAGAAACAGAACTTGGATTTATTCAGGAAATGTTCAGTATTTGTTTTCCTTTGTCTCTGAGCCATTTCAGCAGGTAGTCTTTCAAGCTGCAGCATGTTGTAGTGGAGAGAGGAGAGCAGCAGAAGCTTTGTTTACCTTCTTCCCAAGAATGCAGTTAGCTTTCTTAGCAGCTGACTCCTCTTCTATTTGGTGTCTGCTAGGACGCCAGGCCCATTTCTGCAGTGCTGCTTCCCAGCTGGATACCCCCAGCATGTCCTGGTGCTGGGCTCTGTGCTTCTGCCTGCTGGTGGGCTCAGCTCCCCCTGTGCAATCACCACACTCTGCCCCACCATCCATGTTGTTAAGGAAGATGTTAACCAACCTGCATTTAGTGTTGGAAAATCCTGCTCTTGGTTCTGATGCTGTGCGCACCTATCCTACAAAAACAGGCTGAGAGAGCTGGAGATCTTCAGGCTGGAGAACAGAAGGCTCCAGGAGGACCTTCCAGTGGCCTTGCAGTACCTGCAGGAGGCCAAGAAAAGCAGGGAAGGGACTTCTTGTAAGGACAGGTTATGACAGGATGAGGGGGAATGGCTTTAAACTGGAAGAGGGTAGATTTAGATTAGATATTAGGAAGGAATTCTGTCCCGTGAGGGTGGTGAGACACTGGCACAGGTTGCCCAGTGAGGCTGTGGATGCCCCCTCCCTGGGAGCACTGCAGGCCAGGCTGGATGGGGCTGTGAGCAGCCTGGGCTATGGGAGGTGTCCCTGCCTATAGCAGGTGGTCCTAAAGGTCCCTTCCAACACAAACCATTCTGTGATCCTGTGATTCCATGTTAAGGAAAAAAATGGAGTCTTCCATCTGAACACCTGTTGATGGACTCTGAAGTAAAAACCAAGTGTGATTAGTTTGCTTAAAATGGGAAATAGAACATTACTACTCTGGATTGCACTTCTAATAACCTTTTTTTCTACATGGTTGTTTTCTCAGTACAGCAGGAACTATAGATTTCTGAAGTCCAACCATTTTTGAGCTGATACAATAGAGGTAAAGGAGAGCCTGCTGAGACTTCTGTTTGTCCTGGCAAAAGACGAAGTAAGAGTCTGATAACTTAACTTTGAACCAGAGTATTTGTTGACTGAACTGGCAGTTCTTGGAGATAAATGTTAGTTTCATCTGACAACTGACTACATACCAGAAAGACTCTTTGTTCCTAAAACTTTGGAAACTTCACTTGGAATGCATATATGCACACATACACACTTACAGATAGGAAGCAGGCGAAGGTTACTGGGGTATAAAGATACTACATGGATAGAAGCATGATATTCAGGACACTGTAAGAACATGATTATGAGCAGCTGGATTAAACCGTTCTGTATGCTCACAGTTTGGAGAAAGCAGCTAAAAGCATAACAAGAACATAAAGCCTTGGTTTTCTTCATCCCATATCGTCTCTTTTACTTTGTCCCATATTGTCCCAGTGTGAACTCAGTGAGAAGAGTCTGTAGTTGTGAGGAGGTGTTATTAACGTACACATGCCTTTGGTAATGTTTTTAAACTTCTCACTGATTTTTGGGTGCTTATGCTGATGTAAGCTGGTGGGTGTCTGCTTGCAGTAGTTATGGGGACGTCCCATCTAAATTGATTTACATAACTAACATTTTTATGTCATGTTTCCTTGTAAATGGCTTATCAAAATGTTCTTGGAAGCTACAGCATGTTTATCAGTGTTCTTGCTTCTTGAAATTTATTTCTGTATTACCTAAAGGGAATATGGATACTATATGGACTTGAAATTGTACTTTTTTTTCCTCCTGATTAAAGATACCCACTAGACTTGGGAAATTACAGCTGCATTCTTTTTTGTCTGTCTTTTCCTGAGAATTATAAGAGACTCTGACTGTTAGGGTACTCATCGTGCTCTGTGTGTGAGGAAGTTCTGCCACCTCTTTCTTTGTCCAGGTGAGCTTAATATTGTACTCACTGTGTGTTCAGAGAGGTTTCTTGGTCTGCCTCCAAACAATGTCTGTATCCTCTTATGCTGCCTGATGCTGAGCAGCTGCACTGGACATGTTTAAGGACTGTAATGGGTTCCCCAGGGAAGTGGTTGAGTCACCATCCCTGGATATGTTTAAAATCAATTTGGATGTGATGCTCAGGGCCACGATTTAGCAGAGCGTTGTTAGTTAGGGTAGGATGGTCAGGTTGTGGTTGGACTTGATGATCTTTAAGGTCTTTTCCAACCTGAGCAATTCTATGATTCTTGAACACCTTCAGGGACAGTGACATCACCACCTTCCTGTGCAGCCCCTGCCAGTGTCTGACTGCTCTTTCAGAGAAGGTTTGGAAGAAATGTTTCCTAATATCCAACCTGAATCTCCCCAGCACAACTTAAGGCTATTCCCAGAATAAGGAAATACCTTCATGGTTTTAAAAGCAGATTTTAGCTGCTTGTTTTAAATTCTACCCATTCTTTCTTTGATCTTTTCTTAATTGTGGTCTTACTCAGTGTAAACACCTCAGCCTTCCTGCAGAGAAAGACTTCTCAGCATTGATGTATTTTCTTTTTGCTTTCATCAGTTTATTTTGGTTAAAATTCTTGCCCAGCTCCAATTCAGGCAGAGGAGTAGCAGCTGAAAATGGAGTTTGGAGTTTCACTGGTTCGCGGAGTCAGTGCAAAGTCTGAAGTTCGTGCTTACATTAAAGGTGGTGTGTGTTGTAGTTCTCAGCGGTGAGGAGCTTACTGTGATGTCATTTAATGAAGTTACAAAATGAAAACTCAGTTCTTAGACTAATTTCCTTTTGCCATCATCCCTTTGGCACTCATTCTTTTTTTTTTTTATTTTGTTGTTCTCAGGAAATGTTAGAAATTGTGTAATTCACTTATTTTACAGTAATGAAATTGAAAGTGTATCCTAAGGCAAACCGTGATCTGTGCTGTATTTATTGTACGTTATGTAAAGGAAATTCTTATTTTCAGATCCTAGAGTAAGGATTTGGAGCAGCCCTTTAAAGCTTTTTTCCTTGTCAGCAGCTTAAGCTGTAGGGGCTTCACTGTGGCTGGGCTTTATCAGTCTTACTGAATGCAAGCGTAACTTCATAAGGTGCTGTTTATTGGGAAGAAACGTTATTTATCCTCGTGGACTTCAGTTATTGAAGGTACGAAGGCTGCCTTTTTGTCACCATTCTGTAGTAACCAATTATTTCACTCTTTTGCAGCATTTCAGAAACAAGAGAGCCATGGCCACAGAAATCGGCTCCCCGCCCCGATTCTTCCACATGCCGAGATTCCAGCACCAGGCGCCTCGGCAGCTCTTCTACAAAAGACCTGATTTTGCACAGCAGCAAGCAATGCAACAGCTTACTTTCGATGGAAAACGTATGAGAAAAGCTGTGAACCGAAAGACTATTGATTACAATCCCTCCGTAATTAAATATTTGGAGGTTAGTTAATTTTTGTATTCTCTGAAAAACTTCCTTCCTTCCTGAAATTCAGGATCCTGATTTCCAGATGTCTGTGGAATAGTCTGGAATACCAGGAGGTCTACTGCTGCAATTTAAAACCAACTGACAAATGTCTGTACACTTTACATGGGATGAATTCAAAAGTCTTTGGTGCTCATAATGAAACTGCACATGTACACAACTGAATTTATAGCTAAATTGTAAGCAGCAGTGTTAACTTCATCTGTATTGGAATTCCAAGCTTGGGAGTTCATCTGAATGTCTTCTGTGATTCTCGTTGTAAACAGTGTAATTGTCCTTGTTTTGGTTTTGAAATAGGGATTTCCCCTCCTCCTCCTAAACCAGGGCACCATAAAATGTATTCTCATTGTACTATATAACACTGCAGTTATTTAGTGGTCTCTGGAAATCCTTTTCTGTATGCTTAGAGAGCAAATGCAGAATAACTGAAATAGGTTTTGTTGAAGAAATGTTTCAGTGGAAAGTGCTTATTTAGCTTTCCTTTTGGGGTGGTATTCATTTCTTCATAAATACAGTTTTTTGATCAAGATGTGCAAATGCTGGCTGTTGGCTCAGAAGACATACCATCAAATCTGCAGAGAAAAGGAATTGTTGAAACAGCTACATTGTAAAGGCTTGATGAACTGAATTCAATCTGTTGTAGACTGTGATTTTGGTTTGTAGATTTGCTTATGAGAATATTCTTTAAATATTTGGTGCTTATTCTAGGAATGCCTCCCCTCCACCCCAATTCTAAAAAATAGTGGACAAAACCAACTTAAAATCAGACAAACAAAAATTCTGTGTTGTTTTGAAAGCTGGCATATGGTTGGGATATGGCAAAACTCAACTTCCATCTCCACTTGTACCACTCAGTTGATTTGATGTGATCCTATGAAAATGAAGATAACGGCTCATATGCAGTTCCCTCTTGGCTTAACGAATTCTAACAAGCTAATAGTGTGTGCCAGATGTTTTAACTGCAGTTCTAGCTCATGTTTCTAACATGCACACAGATACAAGTTGGTGAAGTCTGCAAGGCGAAGCAAAAATATACTTCATTTCATAAAAAGTGCTTTTTTAAAAGTTGGTGTTTGACATCTCACAAAATGTAAAGCATCCAAGTTATTTTTATCACTGATTCTTCTTGGTTTTATGCATTTGAATGTATTGTTATCTTTACTTAATGCTCATACCAGCCTGGCTATCAGCATGTTCCTTATTTGCTGTAGTGATGGTATAAAACAGGAGTTTTCTTCTTCTTTCCAGAATAGAGTATGGCAAAGAGACCAGAGAGATATGCGAGCAATCCAGCCTGATGCAGGATATTATAATGATGTAAGTAAAATCTTTCTACTTCCTGTGGAAGTTTTGTGGATAAAATTGGTCTGTAAAATTTGAGTGACTCTGCCTATCAGCTGGGATTAGCTTTTCCTCCGCAGGAGGTCTTAACTACATGAAATGTCTTCACCCTGTGTTATCTGCTGCTATTGAAGTCTATGCCCATGAAAAAAACTGAAATTGGATAGGCTTTTAAAGATGGACATAAGAACTTTCATAGTGCAAGGAGCTTAGATCTTCATCTTGAAGATGCTGATTCTGCATGTTTGAGATCATGAGCCAGACCACTTTCTGAATGCAGATGTGTTTTCCCTAATCCTGCAAATGGGAGCTTGGTTTTCTAGACACAAGTGTTCAGAATATGCGTGCTTTCCTTGCAGTTTCTGATTAGAAGTGTTATTTCTAAACCTTCTGTTTCTTCTTTCTTAGTTGGTCCCTCCTATTGGAATGCTGAACAACCCTATGAATGCTGTAACAACAAAATTTGTTCGGACTTCTACTAATAAAGTAAAATGCCCAGTATTTGTTGTCAGGGTGAGTATAGTATTGGATTTATGTAGTTGCATTGCCTTATTTTAGAGCATTGATGTTTTTAACTGAAGAGAGAAACAGAGGATCAGTTAAAATGTTTTCAAATGAAACCACCACGTAGAATGTCAGAACTACTTCTGTGTTTATTTTTTGTGGAGACTTAAGAAATTAAACAGTTAGGTCTAAGTATAAAGTACTACTTTTGGAGTTTGGGGTGCATTTAATCTTTTTGAAAGATTTGTTGAGTAGGTAATGTATTTTGACTCAGATAAAAGACTGATGAAGGTCAGCACTCCTTAATTCTTGTAGCATCTTTTAACAACTTTTCATTGATTTCAGCTGGGTTGCTTAATATGGCGTGTTGCGTTGGTGCCAATAAACTGTTTCTTCTTTGTGATCAGATTTTGTTGCTGTTGCTTTAACAGTGCTATAACTTTGTTTGGTTGTTAACAAAAGTCGAAAGCCCTCTGGCATGCTTCTGCATTTTTGCCTGTTTTGCACTGATTAGCAAATGACTCAGTAAATACCATTGATGAAATGCTCTGAAAAGTAGCTTAAGATCTGTTCAGATGATTGTGAAGAAATATTTGCAAAGTCGAGTTAAGTCTTTCTTTTTGCAGTGGACTCCTGAGGGGAGACGCTTGGTTACTGGTGCATCTAGTGGAGAATTCACTTTGTGGAATGGACTGACTTTCAATTTTGAAACAATATTACAGGTAAATTCATCTATCGAGGTTTCTGTCTATTACATCGAGGTCCTTAAGCATATTTTGGGAACACATCAAACACAACTTCACCCTCGTGGTGGACCTGTGGTCTGAATGTGGCAGTGGAAGCATCAGGGTTTGTTGGGTTTTTTTGCTTTTTTTTATTTTGATTTTTATCCTGTTCTGTCCCTGTATCAAACTGTGGCCATAGGCAGTCCTTTAATGCTTCTCATTCTGCTTCCATACAAGGTACTAACAGTTCCAGTCACTTTGGAAACAAAGTGTAAATAAATACCCTCTTATTTAGAGTTTTACAGAGTAAGGGAATCCTTCTCTGCCCCTTCAACTTTTTGAATCTAACTAGATCGTCATTGCTTTCATTCCTTCATTACAGTTGTTTGAGTGGGAGCTTTTCTAACTCTATGTTTGTGTGGTTCAGACAGTTTTTGAACGTGTTTGCTAGAAGTTTTGTTTCTGAATTTACAGGCTCACGACAGCCCGGTAAGGGCTATGACTTGGTCACACAATGATATGTGGATGCTGACAGCAGACCACGGGGGATATGTGAAATACTGGCAGTCCAACATGAACAACGTCAAGATGTTCCAGGCACATAAGGAGGCGATTAGAGAGGCCAGGTTTATACACAATATACCATTTTCTGTAGTACCTATTGCCATGATTAGACTGTTCTCTCAGTGTATTCTGGGTGCAGAAATGCATGGGTTCTGTCAGATTCTGGGAAACTTCCTGCACCACATAAACACAATATTTTCTTTTGTTTCCACATTCTCACCGTTTTGCTGGCACCTTTCTGAATTAGTATTGTCCCAGTATACGCCTCTGCAATATGTTAGAGATGTATTTGTCTGCCGCATTTTGCACTGGTATTCTTTTCATTTTTATATGGTGACAATGTGTATCAGTTATTCCTTTTTATACGCACTGTGTAAGACAACAATTTCATTCCAAATAAAGAATTCAGTCTTTAATAACCTAACTGAATAAAATATAAAGCCTTCAGAAATGAAATACCTGCATAGTTCTCACAAAATAATAAAACACTAAATAAAGTGAAGAACTGCTTGGCTTGGTGAAGCCAAGACTTCCAGTAATACTAAATACCCACACAGACTGCCACATACAGAAGTCTAATGTTAATACTGAATGGGTTCTTCAAGCCTGAAACTGTAAGCAAGCCATTGAAGAGAAGACTATAGGATATTCTCTTGGTTCAGTTTTGATACTTCAAATGTGCAAATGTATATATATATATACACATATAAAAAATGGAATCTAAAGTGATACTGTCAGTAAGGTGTAAATGAAGGATTTCTTTAAAGCAAACCTGCATATAATCTTTAGTGAGATACAGAAATAGAAGAAATGTTTTTAAAGTAAGCCTGAAGAGAAGCTGCAGACCCAAAATGAAGCTAAAGCAGTGTTTCTTTGGGTTCAGGTGCTGGCCCTTGGCGATAAAGGTTCACTGCCACCAAAACACATTCCACTAAAGTCACCATTTTTCTTTGATAGGGTGTAGCATTTTCTGTTTGGTTATGAAAAGTTCTTCTGTTAGATTCAGTTACTGTCATGACTAAATATTATGGCCTTACACTGAATTTCTCTGCTATTTTAAGCTCTCTCCTGATCATAAAGATCAAGGATTTCAAGAGGGCTGTCATGGTCTTTCACTGCACCAGAAAGGGAGTGAGTGCTGTCAGTTGCTGGAGGTGTTCTGGCCCTTGATTAAGGCTGTATAACTCCTTACTTTTCCAGTGACTTTCCTCATGTGATGTTGACTGCTCAATCTGGAAGCTGCTTCTGTGTCTGTAGAATTCTTTTCATGGGTTGGGTAAAGAAGGGAAGTTTACCAAATTTCTTTTACAATAAGTGATATGGTTGTTTTATATACTGTTTATTTTATCACCAGTTGATTCAACTAGCTTTTTCATGTTACCAGCTTTCCCTTATTTTTGCTTTTCTGCTGCAAATCACCTGTGGCTGAAGAGGAGTTTTTTCCCTAAGAACTGTTCTCCTGTGCCTCTATACAGTGTCACTTGCTTATTGTATTGCAAAACATGAAAATCTAGGGTGATGTTTATCGAGTCATATTGCTGTTGCTTCTCATCCTGCAAAAAAGGTGCTACTCTATGCAGTCCTTAGGTAGGAAGGTGCTAAGAATAAGTTCTGGATTTCTCATTTGACTGGGGACAGCAATGCAATAGTAATCCCATGCTAAATTCATGTCTTGTGGTGAAGTGGCAGGCAACGTATTCACTTTAAAGTCCCTGTGTTCAAATGCATCTTTCAGTGTATAACACCTTACAGTATAATTTTGCCCTGTCTGAGAAGCATAGATAATCTGTTAAATGCTGACTTCTTTCCCCTGCTGTGTGTCTTCATGTAACAGTTTCTCACCCACGGATAATAAATTTGCTACATGCTCTGACGACGGCACTGTTAGAATCTGGGACTTTCTACGTTGCCATGAGGAGAGAATTCTTCGAGGTATGTGTACCAAAAGTACTGATTGGGGTATTTCAAGAGGGGGAATCTTTTTTTGACTAGGTATTCACCATACAGAACTATCAGCTTGTCTACATTTTTGGTATTACATCCCTGTCTTAAACCCTCCAAGCAAGTTCTTGTTTGGCTGCTGTTGTTGGTGCCTTAGACTCAGGGCACAGTGCACAATGACATTACACTATTTACTGTCCACTTAAACTCTAAACAATGGAGGTAAATATAAGGACACTCCTAACGTTGGTAGAAACAGCTGTTTCTAGATCAGAAATACATATACCTTTCTCCAGACTTCTGTCTTTGTGGCCACTTTTCCTTCAGAGCACACACTTTCATGCAGAGGATTCCATTTTTTTAATGAGAGTGCCTTCTGCTCAGATCTATAAGGGGCAAGACATGTAATTGTTTCTCAGTTCTTAAGAGAAGGACAGTATTTAGGTAGAGAATACGACTATGCTTTCATCACAAACAATCTTAGCTTTAGTTCAGTAGTTTTCTGTCCCACATCTGTGTGATATTCTGTTGCCTTTCCACTGGCTGTGTAGAGCTTTCTCTTTCTGCAGTCTTAGATAGTAGCTTTTGATAGCTATTTCTATCTTAGAGAATATATTAAAAGTAGGAGTATATATTAAAGGCTGCCGTGAGATTGGAGGTTGTGGTCGTGCAGATAAACTGCAAAGAAGACATGCAATAAAAACATTGGAAGTGTGTTTTCAGGTGTTTTAGCTTGTTCATTGCTTTCCCAATCTAAGGAAGGATTTTTGTTGTTGTTTAAATCACGTCTCCAACTTGGACCTGCCTTGGGTGTTTTATTAAGTCCATCCCTCTCTGTTTCTCTTCACTCTTAAGCTCTTCTTTTACTAAACATCACCACCTGGAAAAGATACTGGGCTTCATCATTCTTGCAATGATAATTTTCTTGTCTGAAGCTGTGTGTAGGCATTACTTAAGGTGCATTTTTTATAGGAGCTGGCAAGGAAATTTGTAGGTTATTATTATATAGATTAATTATTCTAGAAGGACCAAAAAAGATATGAGTTGATTCTTTTGTAAAGCATGAAGAAACCATTCTGCACTGTAGATGTTCTGTACCCTCCTCCAGGTATTTGCAGGAGGGAATGGCGACTGCCTCCATGCAGAGCTGTCGAGATTACAATAAACTCTAACTCTCTTAACGTTCTTGTTATGTTCTGCATAATGCAGGAGGAAAGCATGGAGAAAATAGAACTTACATTTCTTTCTGTTACCTTCTGATTGTGGCCACATCTCAAACAGAATTATGCTTTAATTTCTTATACATTACACATCACAGTCCACGATTTTTAGTTTGCAAAATAGTTCTATAAAGAATCTTTACTGCTTCTTGTACAGTGTACCCACAATACACTTTTATTTTTGATGCAAGTTGGAAATATTCTCAGAACTTATCATATCTCTGAATAAAATTGGGTGGGGCACATTATTTGGTCTCTGAGATAAACAAAAAGAAAATCCCTATGTAACCAACACACAGGGGAAAAAAAAAAAAACCACTAATCAACTGAATATCCCTATAAACCCAAACCCTGAGTGTTTGTGGAGTGAGGAGGGAAATGTTTTTGCATAACGTGCAAATTTAGTTTTGGTTTTAGTCCTTAAAACCATTAAACTGGTCAGAAGACATATTTTAGAGAGGTACTTTGGAACCACTTAATAGTGTCGTTGGTGGGAAATAGGAGCATTCATTCATTGCTAGGAGTTCAGTGCTTATACCTTTGGGAAACTGATCTTCAGCTTTTTGCATCTCCACTTGCATTCTGCTCGTAGAAATGCTTTGTTTAGTGGAACCTTGAAAACGTGATTCCAGAATTAGTGATCTGTAAATTGAAATTCTGCTGGAACTTCACTAAGAATATAGTTCATAATGTACAAAAAACGTTTGTGACAAATACTGTGGTAAGGAATGATTATTTCCTACTTTTGCAAACCATGTTTCACCTACTCTGATCCATATTGATGCTGTGAAGTTGAAGTGATTCTACAGTACTGATATTAAAAAAAAAAACTTCATTTAGTATATATATTTAGCATGTATATATTATAGTACTCTTTAGCTAATCTGACTGAAGTTCAAATTCAAGTGAAACTGTTGGTTTACAGTCAGATGTGTTCATTTAAAAAGTTTCTTGCTCAGGATAAAATATCCATCTATGGTTATTCCTACTAATTTTTCAGTATAATTAAGAAATCTAGTTTAAAAAACAAGCTTAAGAACTTTTATGCTACAGAATGCTTTTAAAGCAGTTTTGTAAAGAACAGCAGCAGTAGTGGGGTAAGCTTTGCTGGTATAGGAAGGACAACACTCTGCAAAGTTATTACAGATACTTGTTTGCACTAGAATGAACTGATACAATTTATTTCCTTATTTGATGAAAGTGATCTAAATGAGCAATTCTAGTCTTTCTTTCTAAGGACTGAGAAAACAAATGGGAAGCCCTAACTTACATGGGGCTTTTAAAAAGGTTTTGCTCAAGTTTTCAACTGTCTACAGTAGGCTACGCAATGTTTTCAGTAGGCAAAGCTCCCTGGTTTTTTCTTCATAATGCCATAAGTTCTGGGCCCTTTTTCTTTAACGTGTCCCTTTGCTGCCCAGCTTCTCCCTGATGTATGCTGCTTTGCTGCTGTTTCTGCCATCGTGCCTTTCTGGTGCATGGTAGGTGGGTTCTTCAGTTTTGTTAGATTTATATGATAATTAATTGAGCCCATTTTAATACCATAAGTAAGTAAATGGGTTTAAAATCTTGAATTCTTGGGGAATAATCTTTAAAGTAACTCAGAGGAAATTACTTTGGAAGAACTTGACAGTGGGGGAAATGGCATCAAGTCTCACACACTTACAAGTTTGTGTTTCCTCAACCCAATTGTGGTCCATCTCTTCTCCTGAAGCAAAGCTGCTGTTTCTGATTCCTAATCTCCTAATTCTGCACCAGAAGTTTCTGCCTATATTAATTTCTGTAATGCTGTCATCTTAAACTGGTAACAAGAATAGTGTGTTGCACTTGCTAAAATGCAGTGGTAGAATTCAAACGTGTTAAAAATAAAAATGTTTTTCTAAAATATCAAGACATAGAAAACAGTATATAGAATATCAGTACTTAGTTTTCACGTTAGGACTGTGACTCTGCAAGTCTATTTGCAGTAATTGTATAACAAAGCACTTACCAGGTCTTCATTCTCACTAACTGCAGTGAAAATGCCAGGGCTCATGTAACAGTTCCCACTTCTATACTAACTTAAATATTGCATATTAACGGGTTTTAATAGTCCTAATTAAATTGGAAGCATTGGAATGGGGACAGAAGAGTAGGGAGTGAGTGTCTGGTGTCTATTTATTTTTATTGAGAAATTTATTGTTACCAGGGATTTTAAAGTGATTATGAATCTCTGGCTGTTGGATCTAAATTCCTGAGATAATTTTGAGTAGTTTGTTAATAAACACATGATTCCCAGAGTGAAACTGTTGGGAAGCTATCAGTTGGGGAGCTACAAATGTATTTTTGGTGGTGTCAGTTCCTCTGTTGTTCCATTTCCTTCCTTTCACAGTGATGCACACAAAATCGAGTTGAAATCTCTGCTGTATGGTTTTTGTTCTGAGCTCCAGATTAACTGTATTCCCAGGACATAAGAGGTTGCCTGGCCTAAATAGGTTTCTTTGGACAAATTGGTTCTACCCAGCTTGGTGAAGGATGGTGAGCCAGGACTTCTTCAGGTGTTTTGTAGGTCAATTTTCTGTTTGTAGAACAGAATAATACAGTAAGTTATCTTTTAGCCAACATAGTAGATTTAACAAAAGATTTTTCATATCCCAATTGAAACACTAACAAGCAGTCACAATTCCTTTACATTCTCTCTGTGTTTAAAGATTGCAGTTTGTAACAGAACATAACTTCTTATGGCTACACTGAGCTGCTCCTAAGGAAGGTCTTTTTTTCTTGTGTATTTAATTACATTGCTCTGCCAGGAGTGTCTTCAGGCTTAACAGCAGTACAAACCCTCATTACCTACAGAATAACATCTGTGTGCATACACACACACGTGAAGTCACTGTAGTTCTGGTAAACTGTACTGTTTTGTTTGCTCACAAGATCTGAAAAAGCTATCTCCACAATTATTATGCTGAAATAACTGAAGATGGTTTTTCTTCTTTCCTTCCTTCGTTCTACTCTGTTTCTGGATCTTCATCAGCAAATAAAATCTCATGTAATGTCTGATTACATATTACACTAACCTGTGCAGGTCTACACCTGAGCTTTCTGCCTGCAGGTGAGGGATCTCTTCACAGTTCTTGCTGTCCACTACCTTCAACAAATAGGGAACTTTATACTTAAATTTAGAGAATGTGTTAAATAGTTTAAAAGGGACCTGGGAAGCAGAACTAGCCAGAACAGTCTTCATTTTCATCCTCTGATTTTAAACATGCTGGTAGCTATCTCTTAGCCTTTAAAGTAGCATGGCCTCAAAAACTGTTACCTTTTCTTGGCATGTAATTGAACTATGTGTTGGATCATTTAAAAGAGGAGAAATGCTGAAGCTGCCATTTCACCATATTTTCCCTTTCTCTAGAAGTTTATCTTGTTTTCCTTGTTTTTGTAGAGTTAGAAAACCCATCAAATTCAATAACTGTATATATGCTGATACTGTTTTTCTTTTAAGCAGCTGTAGTGTTTAAACCTTTGATTTTCAGTGGGAACGTGCTGCTTCTTGCTGTCAGGATTTCTGGTATATATCTGCTACATCTTAGTTTGCTGATGCATCTCTCTATGGCTGAACATTAGAAGGATTTTTCCTGGAAGCAAAAGCTCAAGATGGATATTTGTTTGATACTGGCACCAACTGTGTCGATTTAAAGAAGGCAAACTGAAAAAAACTTTAGTTAGTGTTTGAAATGTCAATGTTGGATCAGTTAAATATTTTCTTTCTTGATGGCTTTTAGTACACTGCTTATG